AGAGATTTGGGAAGATCATAGCTGTCTGAACCAGACATCTACAATGGGAGAAATTCAAGTTAGTTGATTTAAGTCCTTAATTTATCACCCAATATCAAATATTAAGGCTAGGACCCCACACAACATTTTATAACTTGGAAAAGTGATGCCGCAATCCAAGCTACAAAATATTTGAAGGTAGGTAAATGACGATTTACCAATTTCCACCATGAAAAACGAAAACAAATTTTAGGTCTTAAATGGATTGAAACTCCTAGATCTTTTGAGATTCATTGAACTATTCAATGGCATGTTTAAATCTCGATTGTGCTCTCTCAAGTTTGTGACTGGGATGCCGAGGATCACAAACAAGGTGTGAATAACCATGCAAATTAACTTGGTACCCTTAACTTTATCACCTAATCTATGTGTCGGTTAACCACACGCGCTCCACCGATCTATGATAAACATTAAGTTACCTTTTGCCATACTTACTAGTCCATGTTAGTGTGCCGGTTAACCACACACGCTCTACTAACGGCTTGGTAAGGTACAAAGTGTAATTTTATGGGTTAGCACCAAATTCACATTTTCCTAAGTAACTAAGATTAGGAATTTATAAGTGTTTAGTTACTTAGTATTTATCATTATATTTTTAATGAAAATTATAGTCCTTTTCCTACCAGTTTGGCTAACGACCCTCCACCAGGTAAGGAAGCGGTGAGTGAGAGTGGACACCCATTAAACTGCCATTTTATAGGCAGTAACCTTATACCCCTTTATAGATCGATTTCGTGAATGACGCCTACTAACGGTAAGACTGCATTACTCTTATACATATATATAAATATTAAACCTATAATATTATAATAGTATAAGGGTTGAATTTTAACTTTTAAAATCCTTGGGTTTAACTTGGAATTAAAGTATTCATGGGGGGAACCTTTACAAATTCCAAAACTTGAGGGCAAGTTTTGAACAATTCAAAAACTTTTAGTTTCCATAACTTATGAGTTTAAAGTAGTTTAATGAAAAAACTCTTTAAGTTCCATAACTTGAGGACAAGTTATGGAAGACTTTAAAAACATTTAAAAGATGAGACTCTTCATTTTCATAGCTTATGGAAATTTTATGAGTTTTAAAAATTCATAAATGAGACTTTTCATATAACTTGAGGACAAGTTACAAAAACACATATTATGAACAACTTTTAGATCAATTTGGATCGAAAACAAATTATCACATAATTTTCTATTAATCTAAACTAACTCATAAGAACAAGATAATTCACATCATCAATCTTCAAGAAATTAGCATAAACATATAAACTAATTCAAATCTTGAAATTATGACAATTATCTTGTATTTGGTTGAGAATAAACATTACCATAACATCAAAATCAAATATATGCTGTCAGGGGCTCCAACAGGCCAAAAAACTCGAATATATGCTGTCAGGGGCTCCAACTCGCCGAGTGCAAGAACCAACTCAATGAGTTGGATGAGTTTACACATGGACTCGTCGAGTCCCCTGTCCAGACAGCAAACAATTCGATTTTTTCAGCTTTTTCCAGCAAGTAGCATCAAGTATAATTTGAAAACAACCAATGGCTCTGATACTACTGATGGGTTTCCTATGCTACAACATCCTATGGTGCACATACAACCCTAAATACCTTGGATCTATGTTTTCACTAATTATACATGCAAATGGTTTCCAAGGCATTAAACCTATAACTAGCATGCATTTGACATAAACCACATAAGATACTAGTTAGGGTAACATACCTTATATGTAGCTTGAAGTCTTGATGTATTTGGGCTTAAGAGCTTAGCCCCAATAGTGTGGAAGCCTCAAATGAAGTCACAACACACCTAGGCAAAGGTGGAACTTGAGAGAGAATTCCATGCACCCAAAAACACCCATGAACTCCAAGAACTTCATGTGTAACCACAAGTGGCGTTTTTTAGGTTATGATGCATGTATTTATACGTGTGGTATTTCAAGAGTCATGGGTATAACCCAAATCCATACCCATGGGTTTTATGATCCATGGTTCATGTGGCCCAACTCTTTATGTATCCATACATAAACTTGGTCCAACATGGATCATAAGCCCAACACATATAAATATAACTAATTACCATAATTAGTCCCCGTAGATTTAATTAGTCTCTTTTGATCACTAAATTAATTCCAAATTAATTCTTTATCAATACTAATTAAAACATATGATTTCATATTAATATATTAGAACTTATAATATATTAATAAATCATATATTACCTTCTCTCAAGAGTCTATCCTAACAAATTGTCTGATGATATGCAACCCAAATGGACCATGCTACTCTTAGGTCAAGTACATACCAATAATAGTTATGGGCTTAGACATCTAATCCAACACGTATAACATCTATTTTCTCGGTAGTGAGAGTGGTAGCAGTTGTTTATTGTCTGATAGGTGAGTCTTCTCACTGTACTTGTGGTTCGAAGGCACCAATTCCGTCCCAGTGCATCGTGTTATGTAGAATATTAGTTGTCTTTGTGATACTTGCATGGAAGACCCCGTGGGTAGCCCATGACATGTGTATGAAAGACCATGGGGGTAGCCCATGGCAATTGCATGAAAGACCATAGGGGTAGCCCATGACACTTGGTTGTAAGACCCTTGGGGTAGCCCATGGCATTCCAGGGAAATGACCATGGGGGTAGCCCATGTCAATTGTATGTATTGTATGTGGTATTTTAGGGGAACTCACTAAGCTTTGTGCTTACGGTTTTGTGGTTTAAATTTTCCAGGTACTTCCATTTCTAAATGGAAAGGTCCGACATGATCGCACAACATCCCTCTCAGGATTCCGTATTTATAACTATTTTACTCTGATGATTTTGATACACTATATTGTGATTGATTTTGAGACACTTGATGTATGAAATTGATGATTTTAAAATGAAAAATTCTATCACTATTTTTGGGACGTTACATTTAACCATGCATGAAACACATTTTCTATGCATACAACACATCCTCTTCTCATGGAGCGCATTCGACAACAAGTAGTGCATTCTAGAAGACTAGGAACACATTTAGAAGGTAAAATGCATCTCCATTACACATTCTCTCATGACAACACATTCTTCATGTGCTCAACATATTCTCAAAGGCTGGAGCACATTTGATCATGCCTAGAGCTCATTCTGATGTCTCCAATGCATTTAGCTTGGCCAAGAGCGCATTTGACCTGCTTCATAAGGTGGAGCGCATCTGCAGAATACTCCTGCCCTAAACCAAGTGGTCCAGTGTGTTTCCAAATTTTCCATTGTCTAAATTCACTATGTTGTTTCAAAATGCTCCACCTTGATTATAATTGCTTAAGTTACATTTAACAATACTCCTATAATCAAGGAGTTTGTTTAGATTCCTAATGCCTATACTAATCAATAACGTTCATATTTTGAAGGTTGGTGTTTGATGATTAGAGACTAATTTATATTCTGAGAGCTTTTTGTGATTTTTCAGAAAGAGTTTAGAGATTGGTTGTGTGTTCATAACTGAGTTTGTTCTCAGTAATCTTTTTGTAATATGTGTTTTTAAAAGTTTACAAATAATAAAAGCTTTTATTTGGTGAATATTTGTTTTATTATTCCTTATTTCTTATTGATTCATTCATAAGTATTCGTATTTTGGGACCATTAGAGGAAAACGCGAGAACCAATCACACAGAAGCAAATTGTGTTATGATACCACATGCGAAAAATACAAACAACCAAGACAAATTAGAACAACTTTCTTATTTCTAAAGAAATAGTTCAAGCTACAAAAAAAATCAACAACAAAATCTCTCAAGAATACACGTCAATCAAAATGATTAACATTCTAAGATTAAGAACTTAAAGAAATAAGGACACAAGCTAGGGTTTGACGAAGAATGAGAGAGATGGAAGAGAAAAAAATATCTCAAATGATCAAGTAGAACATTATATGCAAAATTAATCAAATACGGCTCATACTCTCGAACCGTATTAAGCGAAACGGGTCAATACAAGATACACGTGTTTTTGACGCAATGTACGCTTGCACTACAAGAAAACAGGCTTTTAGCGACGACCTTTTTAAAGACGACATTTGTCGTCTCTAAAAACTCACTTTTAGAGAGGACATATTGTTACTAATAAAATTTTGAAAATTTCAAATTTTTTCCATATTTTGCGACGAAAATTTTGCATCTAAAAGATAAGCGGGAAATTTTTGCAGATAACTGCATTTTTTTTACGAAACTTTCAACGATAGAGATACAGCAAGGAAGCCATCTGCGACAACTGTTGTCGCTATTAACCTTTAGCCAACATTGATACTTTTTTAGACAACATTTGTCGTCTTAAAAAGCACTTTTCTTGTAGTGTTTCCAAGCCTCCATCTACACGTAATCTTAGCACGAATAATCTATCCTTCATCACTTCGGTCCTTATGCCATTCGGTTAGTTAATTCATTAAGACACATTAGGAACACAAACATTTTAAGTTAGAAATTAATAAACCCCTAAAACCATGCGAATTTAGGTTGGATTTATAATTGAATATTCTTCAACAATCAATAAATGTATATTACATGATTCTCCTTTGTGTAACTTCTAGTTAATCATCAGTTACCATTTAATCAACACTAGAATAATGCATGCTTAAAGCATCCACAATGCATAATTTAATGGGAGAGTTGAATGAGGTGACATGCCTAATTGGCATTCAATGGATTAAACTCTACCATTGTGGGATGCAATGAATGTTGGCATCCAATGGATATGAAGTTCAATGGCCATTGAACTCTTCAATGAGAAAAATGAAACCTTTTAACTATTAAATATATATTCCATTGAACTCTATTGAGTTGCATTTGTAGTAAAATTAATATAGAGTTGTATAGCAAGTAAAATGATGATGTGTCAATCCAATAAACTCTAACAAGTTTAATGCATTGTGGATGCCCTTATATTGAATTGAAACAATTCGGTTTCAGATTCTAGGACACCGAGTGGAAAAGCTTTAATGTCTCAACTGATACAATGAGGCCTCGGATAGATCCAGCCGCAGCAACAAGTGATACAATCAAACATGCCAGACTCAATACCTTCATCCAAATCCAGGTGAATGAATTCTTTAGGATCTTTGCTTGTGAAATGTACATCTCTATTGGGAAATACACCGTTAATGGCCAGAAGGTAGTGGCACCAATAAGGCCAAGAAAACTATTAAAAAAGGGAAAGACCATGGCCACCAGGGTTGCTAACACCACATATGATGACCTCCATGTCAACCTGAAGATTTTAATCTTGAATTTACCTAGCGAGTATTCTCTAACTATGAATTTGTTTCTAGGCCATTTTTCCTTGCTCCAACTCTCCACGAACGCAAAAAATGGTTGGACATACACCTATATTAGTAATTTAAAAATGTTAATTTAAGGTAATATTATCTTGGAATAACTTTCTTAATTCGCATATAGTATAAGAATTAAACTGTTTACCTGATAGGCTCCAAGAAGATGAATCACAATGCACAAGTTACCAAAGTCGATAAGCCAAAAGGGTTCGTAAAATCCAAAACCTGTCAAGTAGTTACCAGGTGCATCATTACCGAATGCTGCATATCCAAGTGTCCCACATATCAGGTAGAATAAGGTCGATGCTGAGACTCCCACAGTAGATGCCCTTTTCATAACTTTGTTTTCTGGAGGACTTGACTTCAATGTGTCCTGATTTTGAAGCAGTCTGTTAATTAGCAGTCGTTATATACATACACACATATTTGCGTGTATCATTGTGTGTTTTTATGAACATGAGAGAGAGGGGAGGGGTCGATGCATGCCTGTATCTCAAGAAGGACTGGACAGAAAGAATAGGCAAAAGCAATATCTCCAATTGCTGAAAAAGTGCTCCACATTTTCTCAACACTTGGCATGTCCTTTCCAACTGGTATTCCTGTTAAGCTTGTTCTCGGGTGTCCACCTTCTTTATAAACCAAAAAAAGATACACATGAAAGGAATAAATTTAGCATATCGCAACATTAATTGAGGCCAAATGGGCTAGTTATATTTGGTTGCCTTTTTTTAATGAAACTTAGTATATTTGTTCCAGATTCAGTCGTTTCTAGAGATGCTGACCTGCAATTTTAGCAATGGAGAGAGCAATGCCAATGGTAGCATAGGTAAAAGACATGATTGTTGCAACAATCGAAATGATCGACAGCTTATGGAAGTTAGGTATTTGGCTTAAAACAATTTCAATTACTGCAAAGATTATCAAATACGAATTGTTCAACGTGTGATACCCGGTATGGTGACTGTGTTTATGGAAACAATTTGACCGTTTAATTGCCCTGTGGAGCCAAATCAAAATGAAATCAAAAGTGGAAAAATTTGTGAGCGCAGAAAGTTTAAAAACATTTTATATATGTTCTTACGCCATTGAAATGGCGGAGGTGATAGTATATCCAATGGTTGCTCCGATAAGGATCCCGTACTGGGCTACTCCACAAAATTTGTATTGAAGTCCTCCTGTGGTAGTCGAAATATGTTGAGCAAGAATTTGAAAAAAATGTAAAATGCATGAAAAATGAGGCTATCTGTAAAAAGTTGGCTACTTTTACCCACTTTTTGGAGCATTGATCACTTGGCGTTTGGGTTTTATATTAATTGGTAAAGAAATGAGATGATGTCATGGATTATGGGACCAAAGCTCAACTTTAGGGCCACAATATTATTAATGGTTCACATGGGGACTAGCTTATTAGCGCACTACAGAACAATACAATAAACTTAGTTATTTGGTGGAAAACTTCGTAAAAAAAACAATGAGCATTAACTATATATATAATTCCCACTTCGGTTTACACTTACTTTTTAATTATTTTGTATAAAGTATGTAAAAAGTAAGTGTGACATAAACAACCTTAAGACCCATGTGTTTCACGAAAAGTTCCAATAAAAATTGAATAACATAACATAGATGCAAATGTATGAAACTTATTATCTTGTATGTTTGTCTTATAACAGTATAGAGGAAAGAAAATATAAGGGATATACATCACATTCTTTCTTGTGTGGACATTGCGTTTTTTATACACATCGGATATGGTTTATAGGGCACCAATTGACGACTTTAGTATTTCTTTTAAATGCGTGATAGTTATTAAAATCGTTACCGAAATAACCACTATTCTTTGGTGTTGAAAAATATTTAGGTACTTAGTTATGATTTCTCATAACCTTTTAAGTACGTCGAAAGTTAAATGAAAAATGACATAAACAGGATCAACTTTTTATACGTTAAATGATATTTCTAACTTCTAAGAATATGTAATGAATCCTCTTTTAAGTACTCAAAATAAATTTCTAAATCAAAATGAGTCAAGCTAGCTAGGTCTCTCTTCTAATTTGTATCCCATCCTTTTCTTCAATTAACATTAAGGATTTTGTAGAAAATAGAACGATTCTTACCACACAAAAAGAAGGAAATTAATTTAAGGAATGAAATTAATTACCAAGATTAGCTTTGACAGCTTGCATGTAATTGTAGTTTCTTGTACCATTAACAGGATCAGGAGACCGGTAACAGTCTGAAAGCAAGAGGCAGGTGAACCAAGTGATGACCGCAAAAATCATAAGAGAAGCAGTCCCAGCAATCCAACCTAACTGACCAAAACACCATGCAAGTGACAACACTCCTGAACCTATAACTGCCGTTATTATATGTGCACTTGCACTCATTAACGTCCCTACAATTAAAAGCCCAACAAAAGTTATAATAGTTAGCTCTATAACACATGCATTTTCATGGAACAGCTTCTAAGATGATGTAAAATATATGCATGAACAAGAAGTAAATCTACGCAAAAAGTGGATTCAGTGCGCCGCCCCATATAATTTTAGGTTCTTTTTGGTGAATTCAAGTGTCGATACAGGTTGTTATCTTAATATAGTCTCCTTTTTTAGCAGAGATTTGAACTCCTAGACAGTTATGAATTTAGACAAAATGTGGAAGGAGTTAGCCCATATTTTTTGTACGTATAGACTTTATCAGAAAGAAATTAACACCAGACATGGATATATACCTGTTCTTCTGACTCTTCCGTCGTCATCATCCTGTTCATGGGCATCTCCTTTTTCCATTGAAAAGCTTATTTCTTTCTGCATTTCTTTGTGTGGATATGAATTAACAAAGAAAGGCAATGGCAACGAATATGTGGGTGCGAAGGAAGATATTAATAGGAGAAGAGGAGGAAGTGGGGGTGGCTGATGAAAACACCAACTCAACGTTTGTGTGTGTGGGTGTTCGTTAGGGTGGGGTTTGTAAATAATATTATAAGCAATAACGACACACTTCCTTTGACTTGTTTTTCAAAATCTAAATATAGATGATGGAGATCCTACCTAGGTTTGCACTTTGGATCCCTCCGGTAATTGTACTAAAAAGACACTTGATTTCTATCAGTTGAGATCGGTTTTGAACACGGACAAGAAAAAACCACATTGAAAAATGGAACTTCATGTATAAAAGGGTTATTGTCATAAAAGCTTTTAAATTTACACAAAATGTCCGGTTATGTCCCTAGTCTGTTTTTTGATGTGTTAATGTCAAGGGCGGAGCCGCATGACAGGTTAAGCCGAGACCCACCCTTAAATTCTCATTTTTTTTAATATATTTTTTTACTAGACCCACCCTCTTTGAAACCCATTGAATTAGGTCATCTCCAATGGATTAAACTCATGGAAAGTTGTATGACATGCCAAGTAGGAAAGAGAATGTATATATTCACTTTAATTCTTAAAAAAATCATAAATTTCCATTACAATTCTATTGAACGGTTGCATAGTCATTCAACCCCGCACTCTCTTTCCTCTATATTATATTCATATTTATTCTATTAAATCCTCATACAACTCCCATTGTGGACCTTAGTTGGAACTCAGAAACCCAACGTAGAAGCGTAGGAGCATGCATCTGTGTTTATAACAGAGAAGAAAAATTTGGGCGCCAAATCAGAAGGTAGCTAGAATTGGAAAGTTTGACTTTTGCTTTTGTTTCTTCATCGACGTTCTAGTGATGGAGTAATGCTCGCCAAAATGATGAGATTGCTTCCTGGTGTGAATCGAAAACTAGCAATTCGATGCCAAATCAACATTCCAGTGATGCAGAAGCGTACCCTTCATGGTTTTGATCGTAGCACGCAATTGAGCAACATGCTAAAGAATCCTTAGGAATGACTACATTTACATGTTCAATCATAGGTTTTGCTATGATAATTGATAATTTAGGGCAAGAAAGTGTTGCAGTCTTTACAATCTTACATGATTTCCATATATTGGAAATTTGGAATTTGCATTGTTAATTAGAATATGAAGCCTTTTAGTTTTCCTTCTATTACAGATTGTTAAAGTATTCACATTGGAACTTTAATGGATAAACATGGTTCCTTAATGCAATTAATGAAGGTTATTGTGATCAGTTCATGAATCTTGGGATTGACAATACAAGTTATTTTCCCTGTTCATTATGAAGTCTACTTTCCCATGTTCTTTCTATATGTTACTATGTTTATTATAAGAAGCAATGCATATTAATTACTCATCGTTACAAACATGGATAAATATTTAACAACAAGAAAAGTTTTGGATTCATCAGAGACATCTAATGTTGATTTTTTTTAAACATCGCTATGTGGAAATCAATTTAGCAAATCTTCCCTCAGACCCTGGAATAAGGACTAGGGTTTTAGATTATGATCTAAATGTTTGAGATCGATGAGGTTCGAAGAGCATACATCTTAAAAGGGCCTTGCCAACCAAAATCCCATGAGTAGGGGTGATCATGGAAACAAGGTACCCGTTTACGGAACAAGAACCGTCTTGCAACCACCGGTTTCAGAACCGGAACCGACTTAATCGGTTCAGGTTTCGGTTCCTAAAGTTGTGAAATCGAGTTAAGCGGTTCCGGTTTTTGTTCTCAATTTTTTGGAACCGCTATCCACTGGGTATCCACCAGAACCGATTTGTATATACAAATGTTTTTTCTATTTCTTTGATTTTTAGGCTCTTGTCTATTCCTGACCCCTTTGTCCATGATAACAACTTCTCATATCTAGTTTTTACATTCACTCCAAATGATATTTGAATTGTTCATAAACAAACTTCTGTTCCAGTGCGGTGTCACAGTAGGATATTTCTTCCCACAAATTAGTTCTAAGATGTAATGCCCAGTTCCCGGTACGTATTTTAATTTAAAGTTTTTGCATTTTTACTAAGGGAATCGATGAGTTGGAGGCCCAACTCGTCGAGTAGATGTAAGTTTTGGGTCGCGGGTGGAAGTATCTACTCGCCGAGTCGGAGGCCCTCGACTCGACGAGTAGACCTGTCTGGATGAAACCCTAAATTTGAGGGTTTGCAACCTATTTAAACACTTAAACTGGCCTCCACTCCAGCCTCCATCACCCTCAGACCCCATTCTCGAAACCCTAATCAGTTGTGAGTGTTCTTGAGCTATTTTGGTGCCAGTTTTGTGATTTGAAGCTTGGAGTAGGAAGGAAAGGCTAGATCGAGAGTCTTGGTTGCATTTCCAGCTTGTTTGAGGTAAAAAGCTTCAACCTTGACTTCCCAATTGTTAGATATTCTTTAGGGATTGAATCTTGTCATTTTTAGGGCATTTCTAAGTCACATTCGGGTGTAGAGTGTATAGTAGAGTAATGACTTCAGATCTTGAACTTTGGAGGGTTCTCATGGCATAAAGGTGCCAACTTTATAGCCATGAGAGCCCCATGCATCTTGTAGACTTCATTTTTGGACGTTTTGAGCTTGAAGACCCATGCATGGACGTAAAGTTCGTAACTTTACATGCTATATCGACCCAAGCAAGTCAGATCTACACTTTGGATGCAATGAGCTCAACTGAGATCGACTTGGTAGGCTTGGACCTTGGGGGACTCGGCGAGTCGCTCTTAGGACTCGACAAGTCAGGTTATGGTTCCCCAACCTTTTCTGTTTCTGATCGATCTGGTTGGGTATAGAAGAGGACTCAACAAGATGAATACGAGGAAGAACTCGATGAGTCAAGGAAAGACTCGGCGAGTCAAGGAATAACATTCCAACTTGCATGAAGATAGACTCGACGAGTTCAAGGACGAACTCGGCGTGCCATAGGCAAAAGGTCCCGATTCTGTATGAAGGAGAACTCGACGAGTTCTTGAAAGACTCGACGAGTAGAATCGAAGTCCCATTGTTTTGTGGATTATGGAACTCGACGAGTTGGTGGACCAACTCGGCGAGTTGAGTCAACCAGATGTTGACTTTGACCAAAAGTTGAGTTTGACCAAGGTGTTGACCTTGACTTGGACTTTGACCTGAGTTGACCCTTGAAGGGTTAAGAGTATGAGATAGTAACTAAGGAAGAATGTCATGTGTAGGAGTTTGAGAGGAGTTGATCCTGGCATCGAGGACAGTTTAGTTTCGGCACGACATTGAGGTGAGTTACCTTCTAGTAGCGGTGGGTTTACGGTCATAATGTCGGACCACTAGTAAGAGTTGTATGTTAGATGATTGTCTTTGTAATAATTATCTAGGTTGCTACTACCTGATATGTTTTATGTGCTAGCATGATATGATGATATGTGATAGTAGCAGTAAGGGGAATAGTCCTCGTGACACGGTCGTAAGGACCTGAGGGTAGGTCGGGCACCCCAAAATTTCCTGACAGGGTAGGTCAAGCACCCCAGAAGTGCTTGACATGGGTAGGTCAGGCACCCCAGAAATTCCTGGCAGGGTTGGTCGGGCACCCCAGAATTGCCCGGCAGTATGTATGATGTATGGTATGTGGTATGATGGGGGAGCTCACTAAGCTTTGTGCTTACAGTTTCAGTTTTGTTTTCAGGTACCTATTCTTCGAAGGGGAAGGAGCCGACACGATAGCAGCGCATCACACTTACACACAGGATTTCCGCACTATGATATTCTTGGGATTGTACTCTGACATTATTACTGTTTTATGATATGGTTTGAGACATGTGACTATGTTTTATGAAATGATATGAATCGATGATGTTTTTCCGTAAACTGTTTTATAAGTTACTTGATTAAAAACAAAAAATTTGGTCTTGAAAATTAGGATGTTACAAGTTGGTATCAGAGCATTGGTTTGAGGGATTCGGATGCACCTTCGGGGTTGTCTGGACTCAAATCCAGGGTTTAAAAGATTTTTACAAGAAAATAAATTTCCTAAAATTTAAAATAAAGAGGTTTTGAGAAAGAACAAAGTGTGTGATGCGTGCAACTGGCCGAGCTCAAGTAAGTTTTCTCTAAGATACCCATACATGTTATGTTATGATGTGATATGATTATAAGAACTGCATGCTAGATTAGGGCTAAGGATCTAGGAATGATGCATTATATGCATGTTGTCTTTGTATGAGAACTGCATGCTAGATTAGGACTAAGGATCTAGGAAGATGCCTTACGTGCCTGTTATATGTGCTTATTGAGTTATATGTTAGGACTGATTAGTCAGTAATATGATGGCCTGAATAGGATATGCTTGGTATGGTTACTCAATGCCCAATGTTGCTTGCTTTGTGCTTTTGGGAGTTCTAGTTATCTTTAACAAGCCAGTAAACGAATACGATAAGTTACATATTGCGAGGACTAAATAATTTTAGAAGGTTAGGTCTAGCCCTATTGCGTAACTCTTGTTTGAGTACAACCCTTGTACGGTAGGACCTCTCATTCGAAGATCTGGTCTTAGTGATATGTAATGGTATTCGCAAGCTAGTTAGGTAAAGGTGGTAGGGATTCCTTATGCAGCTTATGGCAGAGAGTAGGTCGGAGGGTTACCCTAGGGTAAGCCTAGGATGAGATTAGTGCAGCGAGCAGTAGTAGTGAAAGGGACTTGATGAAGTCAAGGCAATCCTTGAGGAAAGTACAAATATATGTGGAAGGTAGTATGGGCCCGTACTACTAAAAGCATTGGATCTGTACTCGAGTCAAGGAGGGCTGAGATAGAACCATGGAACTTGTAGTATGTGAGACCTTCCGAGGTTATGTATGACCCTGAAAATTATGTGTTTTGTTTTAGAATGGTGATGATTATGCGACACGGAGGAGGAGGTTCAGGGTCAGGATCAGGTCGGGTTCGGGATCCGAGCCAGTGG